GATTGATCTGATTCCTATGCATACGATCAGGTGAAATCCATGTGTATAACCTGCGTTTATATTTCTTATAAAACCTCTTTTGAGAGGGAAGGTAGTTCTTAAAATAAAAGGCTTATTGACTAGCACTTTGCCTATTATAGTATAAAGATTAGGAACAACAAGATGTAGAGGCTCAATGATGTCATTTATTGTTCTTAAGTCCTGGACCAAATTCCATCTACCACTGGGTTGTTTTACAGCTCAGAAGTCCGCATACAAAGCAGAGGTGAAGTAAGGAACTGCTCATGAGGTTTTCTGTCAATTCCAAAAACTAAGAAATAGTGAGAAGAATTGGGACCTCAGAAAGCTTTTAGGACCAAATCATAGGCTCTTGTGTCCAGGAGAAAATGAATACTTACCAGTAATGTTAATGTTCACCCACAGCTCTTCTGGGAGGATCTGAATTGTTGAAGCGCCCTCCTTTGTTTCTAGCTGGGAGCTGGGGCCTGTCATATATTTCAAGCAGTGGGATAGCTGGATCAAATAGAATTTTTATGCTTGGCTTTCTGAAGCCACACCTCATTCTTTTGTAAGCACATTCTATGGTTTGTTTCAATCAAGTATTGTAATGTTCAATCCTGCAATTTCCATTTGGTTCTTTTCTATGGCTTCTTTTTCATTCATGAAATATCCTTTTTTTATAACTTGAGATAACATACCCTTTTATATCATTATGCACATACAATGTCATTTTTTTACAATTCTTACCTACTAATTTCACATTTGAGTCATTGTGGAAGAGCCCTACACTAAGATTGATATTGACTCATGAGTTTTGGATTCTTCATCTGTCAGGTAACTTTAGAATGTATCCTGCATGCTGTTACTGTTATGCTGTGAAGAATTTATATTCTATTTCTATTTCTCTGAAAAATGTTGATTTTTCTTTTTTAGGCAAGAAATTGTGTGCTCTGACTTTCAGGTAGCATTTCAAACTCAATTTAATTCTTTTTTTCCTTATCTGGAGTTCTTTGAATCTCCCCTGACTTATTTGATTCAGGGTTAGTCAATAATTTGAGCTCAATTTATATACAGAATTTGGAATTCTCTTTCCTTTTACTGAGAATTTCCATCATTTATTAGCTGTAGTTTAGTTTCCCATGACTTTGAACTTTCATTCTTCAGATCAGAATAATGATATCAATGAAAACTTTATACACTTCGTACAGCTGCAATTACAGTCTGTTACTTACCTAAAAGCTGGGGGGCAGGGGAAGGGGAGACTTAAAGTGTGCCATTCCCTTATCACAGTTGCCCATTTTCACCTAATTTTGTTTGGCCCTAATTTTGTTTACTTTTCAATGTCTTTAAGAATCTGTCTTTTACATTTTGCCCAGACAATATCATTGTCAACCACACTAGGGTTGAAACTGTATGCTTTTACTTTGCCATGACTGTTGTTGTTTTGTACCATCAAGTTTGAACTGACCCACAGCTGACCCCCAGACAGGTTTTCTGAGGCAGTTTATGGCACTGGAGGATATTGACCATCCTTCTCCTGGTGAATTCGAACTGTGTGCCTTTAGGATTGCAACACAGCCTCTTATTGTTAGACCACCAGAGCTCCCTTTGCCATGATGGAAGTATAATAGCTTGCATACATTTTAACTTCTGTGTACCATGAAATTGGAAAATCAGAAAATAATAATGCATACATAGGCTGTTTCAACTACTATAAATGTAAAATTTTACTATTATTTATTGAAATTACTTATTTAATGAGTCCAAAGCCCATACAACTTTACATTTTAAGGTCTTTTAGAAAAAGACCAATAGATTCTTCGGCAAAAGGGATATACTTGTTCCCTCAGAGTGTTGATTTGATAGGTTTGGGCAAACCAGAAACTGGCTATCTATAATGGAGATGTTAAGGGGCAAGCCATGAAGAAGCTGACTTACATGCTTTCATTAATATAGTTATTGCTAAGGAGGGGAAGCCCCACAATATATATGAATGAAATAGGATGTAAATAAAAGGTTATATAAAGCACAATATACATGTATAAAACATAATGTGTATAAATGAGAAAAATGTTAACTAAAAAATGGACGTCTTTGACATAGGCTTGTTTGAAAAAACAAAGCAAAACACAACAAACAACAGATACTCAGGAACAAGATAACATGCCATGGACTTCACAACGAGAACTTCCAATACTACATATATTTGAGGGAGTAAATCTAAGCCTCTAACTAGGCTAAGAACTACCCAGTAAGAGACACATAAACATCTCAGGGGACATATTTTTAGTAAAGAAATGCCTAGGAGTTTTTATCAGAATATTCCAGAATGTTAATGTGGAAAGAGCTAGAGGAATCATCTAGTTCACACTACTCATATGACTGTAAATGAATAATTCACAGATTCATTAAATAAACATTTACTGAATGCTTATGGATTATATGCCAGGCACACTATCAATTCTAAAACATGTAATAATGCTTGTGGAATTTGTTTTCTTACTACTTGCATTATTAATTTTCACTATGCATAAAGTGTTTCCTAAAGAAAAAAACTTTGTCTCTGACACTGTTCAAATTATTATATTTTCTTTATCAATGAACTCAAGTTATACGATATTTTTCTAGATTGCTTTTTTACCTACTGAAAAATATTATTTTGTCAGACAGGACTATGTTATAATGGTTTGACATGTGTTTGATGCCATTCTAACATCTGTGCCTAATTATGTGTTACTGGCTACTAGTGGGAAAACCTCAGTGTTTCTTGGTAGCATAGTTCTTTCATTTAATAATTTAACCCTTTCAAATGACATTCAGATCATAGTCTGTATTTCTATCACTCTGAAATTGTTGACTTCTAAACTGAACAGGAGGAATGAGAAGATTTTATACATATAACCATTCATACTCAATTGTACTCAAATGCATATATACACTATCTCTCTTACTTGGTGACCATAATAATTTTCAATTAAATACTTTAACTCAGAGGGTCTCTACATGGTGGATTTTATGTTTGACTGTAAATATAAAGGTTAGAGGTTCATATCATCCTAGCAATACTGCGGAAGAAAAGGCTTGGTAATCTTCCTCTATTAATATTGTTGTTGTTGTTGTTTTTGCTAAGTGCCATAAGGATATGTATGACTCACAGTGAGCCTATGAACAACAGATATGAACCCTGTCCTATCCTGTGCTATCCTCATAATTTCTTACATGCTTGAGCCCATTGCTGCAGTCACCGTGACAATCTGTCTAGTTAAGGGTCTTCTTTCTTTAGCCCACTTTCCACCTTTCCAAGAATGAAGTCCCTTTCCAAGGAATAACCTCTCCTGGAAACATGCCCAAAGTATGTGAGACAATGCTTTGTTATCTTTGTCTCCCAGAAGCATTCTAGCTGTACTTTCTCCATGACATATCTGATTGTTCTTCTAGCAGTTCATGGGTTACTCTGTACTGTGCTCCAACATTTTAGCTCAAAGACATTAATTCTCCTTCTGTCATAGTTTGGCTTTTGGATGCATAACAAATGATTAAACATACCATGACCTTAATCAAGTGTACCTTAGTCTTCAAACTGACATCATTGCTCTTTAGTAATTTGGAGAGGTCTCTGACTGCAGACTTTCCTAATGCAGTACATCTCCTAAGCTGCTCACCGCTGGAACCAACGATGTTGATTGTAGATCCAAGTAAGAGTAAATCGTCAACAATTTCAGTCTTTCCTCCATCTATCTCAGTGGTGGTGAAGACCTCATCCCCCATTAAGATCATCGTCAGGAAAAACTCAAGAGCAGCTCACCTGTGCTCACCTGAGGACAACATATGAAGTCATAGTGAGTCAAAATTCACCTGATAGCAATGAACAACAACATAGAGCAGGTGTTTCCATTACAGGCACAGCTCCTTTCAATGTACATAGCTGTATTGCTCTTCATAAATATTGCAATTTTTACAAATTGACGGTTTATAGCAACCATGCATTGAGCAAGTCTGTTGGTGCCCTTTTTCCCAGGGTGTGTGCTCACTCTGTGTCTCTATGTCCTAATTTGATAATTCTCAAATTATTTCAAATTTTTTTAATAATACTATTGCATACTTAACAAACTATACTAAAAAATTTTAAAAAATATCAAAATCTCAAACTTACCAACCTAGAGTTGATGCTGACCAATAGTGACCTTCCATTGGGTTTCTGAGGTTGTAAATCTTAACAGGAAGAGATTGTCCATCTTTCTTTTGGGGGACCCTTGGGACATTTAAACCACCAGAGACACACTACCTTTTGGGTAGCAGCACAGCATATTACAGCCTTTACCACCAGAGCTATGCTGCTGTTGTTAGGTATTATTGAGTTGGAACCAACGTTGACCCTCCAGGTGATTTTCAGAGACAGTAAAATCTCACAGAAAGAGACTATCTTCCTCTTGCATAGCAGCTGTAGACTGAAACCACATACAACTCCTTACCTCTAAACCACCAAAGTTCCAATAGACATAGTGTGAGCATAACTATTATCGTCACTGAGAACATGAAAAATTCATTGGAGTCACTTTATTGAGATCTTTGCTTTATTGTGGTAGTGTGGAGCACAACCTGCAATATTTTCAAAGAATGCATGTATTTTGTAAAGTCTGAAGAATAGCATTTCATATAGTTAAGTCTTCCACTTTAGAAAGTGCAGATAATGTCTACAGTATCCCTTAGAAGTTATCATTTTATTAATGTTTATAAGAGGAATAAAATAATGATTCCCATACCAGAATATTGTATAGGGCCACTGTTGTAAAATGAGACTGACATTGGGGTTGAGGGAAGGCAGAGAAGGAGGGGAGGAATGATACATACTGCATTGAAACAGATGAGGGAGAGAACAGTTTAAAAGGGATATATGATTGGGTATTATTGTCATGACAGGAGTCCAGAATGAAGGCTGCACAGTGGAGTGGACTTGGGGGGAGGGATTGTATAACAATGAAAGAGTTTTTCTTTTACTTTTCAAGGAAAAGAGTGAATTGCGAGGGAGCAGGTGGGCAGGGAGAAAAGTGCAACAATGAATTACTGGAAACCCTAAGTCTCTGTAAACCCTCATTAAAATTAATTTTAAAAAAGGGGGGGGGAAGAACATTTTAGCTATAATAAAAAATAAGAACTCTATTATAAATATTAGAGTTTGATTCTAAAAGCAGAAAAAATAGGGAAATATTAAGTAGGAGAGCTAATCAGAAACTAAAATATATCCATAGCATTTATTTTCATTACCACTTTTTTACTTTGGATCAGTTTGTCTTATTATTATGTTAAAGACTTTTCACAGTGTCTTCTGTTTAAATATTTTTCCTTTTTTTTAAAAAAAAATTTCTGTTATATAACTTGAACTTAGGCAACTAAGTGGAGTATAATTTTACTTGCCAACAACGAAGCAAGCTTTTGTATTAACAATTAATCAGAACTGAAAGGAATCCTAAAATGTCTGTATCAGTTATCAGCAGTGAAAGCGTCTCTATCTTTGGGATGATGTAGCGAGATTAAACCCTTTTATTCTAAAAGAATCAGCAGCACAGTCACAAAGTAAACAGTTCTTTATATAGAGCTGGGGGAAATTTGGGTGTATTGTTAGTGACTTGCAGTGAATGAAGAGTTTTGATTTAAAATCAGGGAGACCAGAAATGATAGAAAAGTTAATTTCCAATTCTTTAACATTAACAAAGCAGCAGAGGAGAAAATGAAATGGTTCATTTCAGAGTTAAAGGAGATTTGAAACTGAACATTGCTTTCGGATTCAAAATTTCAACTGAGCATTTCAATTACCCTATGTGACACAGGAGATGATTGCTCTTTCAGACAGAAATAAAATATCCAGCATATTGGAAAAGATTTCCTTTCATATTTTGAATTGCTGTAATTGATCTATCTCCATCTTCGCTTCCTTGTTTAAACTTTTCTAATGAAAAGTTATTTTCGTACTGAAAACAAGTTGATATTGTGATCATTTAGCTTTACAAAACCTGGGTGATACAGTCTTGGAGTTTATATGCAATGCTGTTCGTAGGTAGCAAACCGAAGCAACATACAATCTCCCTCATCAATCTGCACAGCTGATGGCCTTTTGTTCGGGCCACAGCTAAGAGATCAAAACTGTGTGATGTGTGTTTGTGGGAAATCGCTGCCATTCATTTACTCTGCAGGAGACCTGTCATCTTTAAAACAAGTCTATTCATCACCAACTATCAAATTCAAGGCTCTCCTGGCACCTGCCTGGAGTGACTGTGTAGTTGCAGCTGAATGCTTCCTTCACATGTTTATTTTGGTGCTCAACTTCAGAGGGGGAAACCCACCCTACTTACCCAACACACTAATCTCTCTTCATTGACCTAATTGTACATTGTAGAAACCCAGGGTGACACTCTACTAACTTCACAAAAATATTGTGCTTGTTATCCGCAGGAGGAAACCCTTCAGCGGGCGCGAGACGAGGAGGAGAAGAGGAAAGAGATTACGAGTCATTTCCAGAGCACCCTGACCGACATCCAGGCCCAGATTGAGCAGCAGAGCGAGCGGAACATGAAACTCTGTGAGGAGAACACAGAGCTCGCGGAGAAACTCAAAAGCATCATCGATCAGTATGAGCTCAGGGAGGAGGTGAGGCCCACCTTGAACAAGTCCGAAAACCACCGCGGGGATGTGGATCTGGCTGGGAAGGTGGGCAGCTTGGGAACTAGGCTGTAATGACCAGCCCAGTCAACAGATTACTACCATTGATTAGATTTCTGTGGCTCACTCAGACAAAGATAGATGCAATTGCAAAATATCTGGCTGCAAGTCAGGCGGGATTATCACAAAGAAAAGGCAGTAAATAGATAATGGTTGGTCACGGTACCGTTTGGTGGTTGTTTTTGAACCCTCTTTTTAAAGCCCCTCCCACAAACATCTTACATACTCCCTGCTAATCTCCATTCCATCTGAATGGAGGATTTATAGTCTACACGCTACACAGTCAATAACAACATTATTGATAATGCAATCATTGACATTACAAGGGTGCCATTTACTCAGTGCTTAGTTTGTGTCAAGCAATATGGGAAAGATTGGGCTTTATATCCATCCCATCACTTAACTGTCTCAACAAGCACAAGGCAATAATGCATCATGCAGCAGACAAGGAAGGCTTCTGCTGGCATAAAACTCAAAAAGATTTTTTTACTTTCCATAGTTTATATTGAGAGGAATAGAAAGCTCTTTTGTAATTTCAAATTCTAATATTCACTCTGTTTTTAAACTCTGGATGCACTCCCTCCCCATGGCCGGGATTTTTATATATCCTGTCCTTTCCCCTCAAAAGCCCTCGGAGTGCAATTGATAAGCACAGAGCTGCTAATGGAAAGGTTGGTGGTTCAGCCCCACCCAGTGGCTCTACAGAGAAAGACTTAGTGATCCGGCCCCATAAAGATTATAGCTCAGAGAGCCCTATGGGCAGTTCCACACTGTCACATGTGGTCACGTGGAGTTAGAATCCATTCAACAGCACCTAGTATTATTTTTTACATCCCCAGACTCCCTGATATCTAAAAATCTCTGTTTTGAAATGAAACAACAGGGCTGAAGTGTTCTTTCAGCCTAAGATTTTATCAAGACTGGAAGTGAGTCAATAACATAATGGAAGCAACGATTAAGTGATTCAAGAATCAGTCATGCTGTAGTTTTATCTTGTCAAGTCCTTGAGCCCACGCTACAGGGTGGAAGTTGAAAGGAAAGAAAAAGAGTGAACTCACAAGCCCTGGTGTCCTATTTCTCAGCACTAGTCTAGAGCAGCCTGAGAGGAGAAGTTAACACATGCCTTTCTAACCGGGAATCCTAGTCACCAAGAGATTCTCCACATTGAGCACCACTGGAAGCTTCTCTTCAAAAAGCACATCAAGAGGCCCCCAGGTGGAGAAGAAGCTGTAAACTATTTGCATCTCAATTCATGTGTGACAAAGTAAAAGAAAGAGGGACTCACTCTCAGACCTGGGGCCCCAGGCTGAGGCCTCAGTGCTTCCTCACAAGCCAGTGAAGCTAAAGTGTGGAAGGGAATTCACAGTGAAAAACTGTTTTAAGACAGTGATTAAAAGTGGCGTGATATTCACAGGAAAACCCAAAATATGACATGAGTTTGCTGTAGTTGAGGCAATAGATAGAATTATCTGTGCCTTCTAGCACCGTACACAGCATCATATCTAACAGGCACTAAATTTAGGAAAGTAATTTGAAGACTTTTGCGTGTGAACACTGATAAATATCCCACCTTTGACAGTCACCTTAAAGTGCAGGGGACTTCCCCAATTTGTGACTTTAATGTAAAATGTAAATGATGTCAGTGTGTTTATTTCCCCTCTTTCTAAAAAAAAAAAAAAAGCTTTTTAATCTTAAAACCTGGGGAATCCGTAGGTTTGTGAGAGTGTTGTTCTTTTGTTTTCCAAGCAGCAATGTTATCAGTGACCACTGAAATCTCTGCCTGATATTATCAGTAAATGTTATCCATGTGCTTTATCCTTTCCTAGCATCTGGACAAAATATTTAAACACAGAGAACTGCAGCAGAAGCTGGTGGACGCCAAACTTGAGCAGGCGCAAGAAATGATGAAGGAAGCAGAGGAGCGGCACAGTCGAGAGAAGGAATATGTACTTACCGTTCTAACCAGTGTGCATGGCTGCTCTTAGTGGAGGGGTGTTCCTGAGAATACGATTTCTAATAACTGCCCACATGCTTGTCTTTTCGTGAAGGACTAAAATTGCCATCAGTACAAAGTGTTGTGTGTACAGTGTTTTTAACATAAAACTGTCATCCATTCAACAAGTAGTTTTCAAATACTAGTCATACGCTAGGGAGCTGTGTGGTGTAGTCCGGAGGGGTTGTGCAGCTAACCTAAAGGCTAACCGTCTTTGGTGCCTCAGATCCACCAGCTATTCCGTAGGGGAAAGACGGGCAAACTCCTCCCATTTTACAGCCTCCTGCCAACCTACTGGAGAGTCATTGATGAGTCAGCTCTGCTCAGCAGTAAGCTTGAGTATCTCATGCTGGGGTATCAATGGTGCTGCTTCCCTGGGGTATACCAGAGTTTGGTTTCTGGCCAGTAAGCCTCTTGCATAGTCATCACTTGCCAGTATGGAGGTTGTGCGATATTACGATGTTGAACATCAGACTAAGATGGACTGAGAAGCAAGGTGTGGAAATCGAGTCCCAAATATCAGCCAGAGATTTCAGTGGTCACTCTACAACCCATCATGGGGTTGGCCCAGACCTAGCAGCATTTCCATCCATGAGTACGGGGTCACTGTAAGTCACAGGCCACCTCAATGTCTAACAGCAATCATATACTAAGAGTTGTACTCGGTGCCGAGGATACAGCAATAAGAAGACTGAGAAGGTTAGATTTAAGCAAGGAAGGGGCAGGCAACAGACAAGTATATAAATAAAAATAAATGCTACGGGTAAAATAAAGAGGAACCGAAAGGCAGAGGGAGGGCCCCACTTCCAGGAAGGCCTCTTGGAGGGGAGGATGTTTGCATGGAGACCTGGTTGCTGAAGAGCTGCAGGTTGTGGAGTCAGAGAGGACATCTCCAACCCTGGCCCCTGCAGCAGGGACGTAGGTCCTGATGCTTCAGGCAGCTGGGCAGGTGGGCTCCACGATCAGCCAAAGGTCATGGAAGCAAAAGCGTGCTGGCCACGTGGGAGCAAGTTCCAAAATGAAGTCGGTGACAAATCGTGTAGCTGTGCAGGGTTTGGGAAGTAATCTCAATTTTGTGGTAAATACAGTGGGAAAGAGCTAGGTAGTTTTAGCAAGGGCATTGACATTAATATGCTTTGTATCTGTGAAAAATGAATTTAGCTCTTGGGTGGACAGTAGGCTAAACACAAGAGTTAAGCGCTACTGTGGAATCCAGGTGCCACAGGGCAGCACCTCCATGGGAGAAAGACGAGGAACCTCCCCTGAGATTCACAGCCCCGAAACCCAATGGGAAGTCAGCTCTATAAGTCGGTTCCAACTTGACAGCAGAGAGGGATTGGGGGTTTTTTAGTAACAATCCAGGTGAGAAATGATGAGAAGGCTGCATTAGGGAGGTGAGTGGAGGAGGAGCGACGGAGAGAGATGAAAGTTCATTTTTCACTGTAAAACCAAAAAGCAATGCTGATGCACTGAAGATGGTGGCAGCAAGGAAAGGGGAGATAAGGATACCCCACTGTCATCGAGTAGATGCTGACTCAGCAAGCCTGGAGGACAGAGTTGAACTCCCCCACAGGCTTTCCAAGACTCTGAGTCTTCACAGAAGTAGACTGGCATGTCTTCCTCTTGTAAAATGCCTGAGGGGTTGACATAGCCAATTTTTTCCCAGCACCAAAATGCTTTAACCACAGCACCACCAAAAGCTCTTAAACCAAAGATAGCCTTGATGTTTTGGTTTAAGAAACTGGGTGGCAGCGTTTACCTAAATCTCACAAATGCCAAACACCCAAAATAGATGTAAGGCCATTCTACAGATGAGCAAATTAAGGCTCAGAGGAGATGTGCACATTGCTGCTGTTGTGTACTATGTGGTCAGAACTGACCCATAGCTGACCCTCCAGTGGGGTTTCAGAGGCAGTAGACCTCATGGGAGGAGATTGCCCACCCTTCTCCTGGGATGCAGAATCATGGATTTTCAGTTAGCAGTGCATTTTCTACCACTAAGCCACTGTTGTTGTGTGCCATTGAATTGGAGCCAACTCATAGCTGACTCTCTAGCAGGTTCTCAGAGGCAATAAATCACACGGGAGGAGATTACTCATTTTTTGCTCGTGGAGTAGCTTGTGGATTCAAACAGCATGCTTTTGGGATTGTAATGCAGCTTCTAAGCCACTAGTTGTTGTTAAATGCCATCAAGTCAAGCACAACTCTTTTTTTGTTTTTCAGTTCCTTTTTTTAAAAATAAAATTTTATTTCAATTGTAATTTTAATGAACATTTACAAAGAAGTTTGATTTTCTTTCATTTATTGTTGTACATATAACCGCCTCCCCTTACCTTCCCCCTCCTGCAAAATACCAGGGATTAGGAATTCAATGCAGCTTTTGGGAAAACGGAATTCAATCCATAGCACCTTCTAAAACTTTTCTCTTAATTACACATGTTCTTGAATTAGATAAATCAATGGAATGATGCATAAGTTAATTAGATATGATTGTGAAAAGAGTTGTTTCTATGAAAACTATGTTCAGTTTGAAAAGTTTACTGTTGTTGCAGTTTTTAGGTGTCATTAAGACGGCACTGACTCATAGTGACTCTCTATACGCCACAGAACAAAACAATTGCGGCTGTGTTTGAGCCCATTTTCGCTTTCATTGTGTCAATTTATCGAATTAGGCTCTTCTTTTCTTTGCTGATCCTTTATTTCACCAAGCATGATGCCCTTTCCTATAACAGAATCAAAGGATGTAAAATCTCACCACCACCCCCTTCTAAAAAGCACTTTGACTGTCCTTCCTCAGAACAGCTTTGTTTGTTCTTCTGGCATCCCATTGGATACCCCCCGTATTCTTCATCAACACTGTAATTCAAAAGAACACGTTTCTTCAGTATTCCTTTTAGGGAGCTCTGGTGGTCCAAAGGCAAGAAGCTGCACTGCCACCCTGAAGGCACGCAATTCAAATCCACCAGCTGCTCCACGGGAGAAGGATGGGAACTCTCCTCCCATGTGATTAACTGCCTCTGAAAACCCACTGGAGGGTCAGATATGGGTCAGTTCCAACTCGACAGTGCACAACAACAACAACATTCCTTATTCACTGTCCACCATTTGCATGCAAAAGACAATTGACAATATTATTGTCAGGTGCACCTTTGCCCTCAAGGTGACAACTTTGCCTTCATTTTGATAAGAAAGTTTTTCTTTTATGCTGGTTTACTTACAAAGTTCATATACATTTTTTTTTCTTTTACCCACCCCTCCCTCCACCCATCAAACTGTGCAACACTATGATTAACTAGCACCTGCCCCCCCCATCTTCACCCCTCTGCTCCCCAGAGTCCTTATATCCTTTTATACATCATACAATAATGGTCTTACACAGTGTTTGTCCTTATGGGACTTAGTTTACTTTGTTTTTTGAAAGCTTGCTTGAAGTAAAATAATGAAAAATGGTCCTCAAATTAGATGCAAACAGAAAGACAACAAAAACCCTTAAAATGAAAAAGAGAATTATTCATTCACACTGCTTTCCAAATATCTTTAGGATCTATCACTGCTTAACTAAAACCTCAAAGTGAAGGGTTTTTTTAGATATCGCACTATGATTGTGATTTTTTTTGCCAAAAAAACCCCCTTCAATCTCCAAGCAGAAGATTAACAAAGACCACAATTTTCTAGCAAGACTGACATGTGCATGAACATGTTGACATTTTAAGTGAAAATAACATGTTGTTTTAAATGTCAATGTCATTTTTATGCCTACAATAACTTCTTCACTGTAACCTGTCACTTTGCAGTTCTACTGATGCAGGATATGAGCACCTTCACTGTTTCTGAAAAGCTGCAGGATCTGATCAAATTCTGACTCAGTTTTTCTCAAAAGATAATCTGTGGAACAGAGATATAAAAATGACCTGGGATATTTGCTCTGAGTCCAGTTTCCCATCCCTCCATGTTCTTCCCGAGTCATATCTTTTCAAAGGAAACTACAGTTCAGCATGCTTTGTTGGTGATTCTGATGCATGATGCAATGGCAGACAGTGGTCTAAGAGAAGCCTTTGGGCTTAATATAAAGGAAGAGGTTGCTGATACCTTGCCCCAGGATTCTCTAAGGGTCAATGACAGTTGTGAAGACATTTAAACAAAGGCTGAATGGCAGCCGTCCAGGATTAACAGATAAGATTCCATGGTTTGGGGGGTAGTTGAGTTTGTGTGATGCATGCTTGAGTTGGTTGCTATTTTGTCCTTATTTTTGTCCCCCCATTAAAGCAAGATAATGCCACTTTTTAGATCAATTATTATCTCATTTCTTAGGTTCTAAAAAAAAAACACTTACAAGATAATAAGTTCTATGTTCTAGTCACAACCAGTCTGTTAAAATTCAATTTAACAATCTTCCTGTGCATTCTCTCTTCTCCCAGCTCCTGAACCAGGCGGCAGAGTGGAAGCTTCAGGCCAAAGTGCTGAAGGAACAGGAGACAGTCCTTCAAGCCCAGGTGACGTGGGGTGGGCTGTGTGTGGGCTGTGCTTTCTTCACTCTCAACAAGTAATGAGGCTGTGAGTTACAGGAAGTCTGCAGAAAGTCTTACACGTGGTAGGATAAAGGGGGGGAAATGTGAAATGAAGAATAACTTCATATTTATTACATATATAAAAGTACAGTGCTATCTCTAAGTAGAACAGGAAGTGCTTTGTGTCAACAACAGCCAGTTAAAATGTAAAAAAAAAAAATTTTTAAAAATGTGTGTGTGTGTGTGTGTGTTTCGATAGAGCTCCCAACTTGTAGAGTTGGCCCCCATTCATGGTGGACCCACATGTATAAGGACAGCATGTTAAGAGTGTCCAATAGGGTTTTCAAGGACTCATTTGAAGTGGTAGATTGTCAGGCCTTTCCTCTATGGCACCTCTTGATGGACTAAAACTTTTCAGTTAACAGCTGACGACATTTACTCTTTGGATCACCTAAATAAAGCCTCCCGTCCACTACTCATCTGCCAGTTTTCCATCCTGTGCTGGTCTGCATGGTGCTGTGATGCTGGAAGCTACACCACAAGTATTTCAAGTACCAGCAGAATTACAGAGATGAATGAATAAGGAAGACTAACAAATTGCGGTATTGATGAAAAGTATTGAATATACCATGAAGTACCAGAAAACAAGCACAACCATTTTGGAGAAAGTGCAACTAGTCTGTTCCTGGAGACAAAGGCGGTGAAAATGTCAATACTTTGAACGTTTTGTCAAGAGGGGCCAGTCCGTGGAAAATGGCATCATGCATGGAGGATAGAGAGTCCATTAAAGAAAGAAAGACCTTCAACAAGATGGATTGACACAGTGTCTGCATGCAACTGTGGGCTTAAGCATGGCAGAGATGGTGACGATGGTGCAAGATTGGGCAAAGTATGGATTTGCTGAAGGGGAGCACTGCACAGTTTGGAACTGGGAAGGGAGTGTGCCAGGTTTGTATTCTTTCTCCATACCTATTCAGTCCCAATTGAATATGTTGAGCAAATTATCCTCCTCTATGAGGAGGAATGTGGCATTAGAATTGGAGGTAGACTGATCAATAACCTATGTTTGCAGAATGACACAACCTTGCTTGCTGAAAGTGAGGAGAACTTGAAGCACTTGTTGCAGAAGATCAAGAAATGAAGCCTTCAGTATAGATTGCCTCTCAAGGTCAAGAAAAGGAAGAGTCTTATGACTGAACTAGTAGGCATTGTCATGATGGATAGAGAGGAGATTGAAACTGTCAACAGCTTCATCTTACTTGAATCCACACTTAACACCCTTGGTACCAGCAGTCAGCAAATAAGGAGGCATTGCACTGGGAAAAATATGCAGTTAGGGACCTCTCCAAATTATTGAGGAGTAATGATGTCAGTTTGAGGACTAAGGTGTGTCTGACTCAGGACACGGTCTTTCTGATTATGTACTATGCATCTGAGAGCTGGACAATTAATAAAGATGATGAGAAAAGAATTGATGCCTTTGAGCTGTGGTGTTGGAGAAGAGCACTGAACATCCCATGGATGGCCCAGAAAATGAATAGGTATGTCTTGGAGAGAGTGCAGCTGGAGTGCTCTTTGGAGGCAGGAATGATGAGACTTTACCTCACATACTTTGGGCATGTTGCTAGGAGAGGCTATTCCCTGGAGATGGACATGATGCTGGGAAGGCTGGAGGGTCAGCAAAGAAGAACACCCTCAACCAGGTGAATTGATATGGTGACTGCTGCAATGGAAGCTAGTGTGTCAGGAAATGGGAGGGTGGCACAGCGTAGGACAGGATTCAGATCTTTTGTTCACAGGGTCATACTCGACTCAGTGGCACCTAACACCACCACCACCACCAAAAGATTCATTACATGAAAATAATACCCAAAACTGTCAGTTAGAAAAAGTGTTTATTTTCTTCTATGTTTTTATTTCTTCTTTCTTATCTAATTCTATGAAGAATCAAATGTAAAATGTTCAGATGCACCATTTATAACTGCTAGTATATTTAAAAGGTTAGATGTTAGTTACAATAAAGGAGAAATTCTAAAAATAGGGTCAAGTCCCAAGTTCCTGAGTACCTAAAGTTAACTTTTTCAGTAGTACTTGTTTCTCTCCACTGACCTCTCGAACTCACTGCCATCTAGTTGATTCTGACTCACCGCAACCCCCCACTGTGTTTCTGAGGCTGTAGATCAAAACAAGAAAACATTGCCTGTCTTTCTTCCTTTGAGCATTTGGTGGATTGGATCTCCAGGAGACACAGCCTGTTGGTAATCAGCAATGCAACATCTTACAGACTTTACTGTCAACAATTCCAAAAGTGGGTACCTTTAACAGAAATTTATTCTCTCACAGTATGGGAGGATTGTTGTGGTTGTTAAATACAATTGAAGTGGAACTCACTCTCCAGCAGGTTTTTCAGGGATAAATTACACTGGAGGAGATTGCTCATTTTTTCCCCTCTACCAACTGGTGTGCCCTTGGATTGGTAGTGCAACTTTTTACCACTAAACCACCAGAGCTCCTTGGAGTCACAGTTTAGGGTACCAGGCCTACTAGAAAGCTCCCTCTCCATGTGACTTATAATAAAGTCCTGTTTCAGCATCTATGAGTCCAGTGTTCCATGGATTATCTCCATGTGTCTTTGCATCAGTCTTCCCCAGGGTCTAGTACATTCTCAGCTCAGGGTCTTTGGATTCAAAGAATGCGGTCCACTTCTAGCTCATTTTTGTTGATGGTAGTAGGTCCTTCGGTTTCTGCTTCCATCTATTTCTTGTATCTCTTGTAAGAAAAAAGGTGATGTAAGCCATACTTCAGGGGAACTCCCCTTACAGTCTTTGTTGTTGTTTACATTATCTTACATTCTTCTATCAGATTAGGGCTGTAACCCAAGGAAGGATGCAATCATCCCAAGATAATCGTTTTACAACTGATTGGCTGATCACATCAGGTCACACCATGAGGGATGATTACATTATTAAATAATTGCCAGATAAATCACTGAGAATCATGGTCCCGTCAAACTGACAAATTATAGGAGAATGAAGTTCAATCTGTGATAAATTCAATCAATTAGAAAGACTTACAGCAAGACAATTTTTATTTGACATTAGACTACCAGGCACATGTTTTCATTGTTGTTAGATGATACTGAGCTCTCTCCAACTCATAAGAGAACCCATAAAAACAAAGTAAAACCATCTTTACAATATCTACTGTACTGAAGTGTTCTCTCCGGCAGCATGTATATTAACATTGGAATGATGCAGAGAGTTAAAAAACTAAACTCTAGAATAACAGAGTATTCTTTAGGCAGGCATATGAAGTTAGGAAGCTGTGACATTACGGCAGAGGGTAGGGAGCTATGGTGGCCTTCAACTGGGAGGTGGACAGAGGAAAATGAGGTGTGACCTCACTGTCTGTCTGAAAGAAAAATGCCCAGAGAATTACACCAGAACTTCTGACTTTCTCTACCCTATTAACAACACAGAGACTTGGTACATTAGATACTACACCAAGCAATATATCATTCATGTAATCTATTACAAGCAATCTCTACTCCCTTATGTGAAGTGAAACAACTGAATTTGAGAAAAGATTAGTATCTGCAAACTTTGGACTAGAGAGTGATTCATTAAGTTGGCATTGACATCTAGGATTTTAGTGGACGATGGAATAATCTTACATTTGCAGTTGGAGTTCTGGTGGTCAAGTGGTAAGAAGCGGTGCTACAATCCCAAAAGGCACATGGTTTGAATCCACCAGCAGCTCTGAAGGAGAAGGATGCGCAGTCTCCACCTGTGTGATTGACTGTGTCTGAAAACCCACCGGAGGGTCAGCAATGAGTCAGCTCCAACTCAGATGGCTCACAAGAACAGCAATTAACAGTATTTTGTGAAATTGTAAATTGTGAATTACTAATTAATAGCATTCCATAGGTGAGGATCTACGTAAGGGAGATAGATATATGGGACAAAAAGGAGTTTTGAGTTGAATAGGTTGAAAAGTCACTGGAAAGACCTCAGCAAGACCCTTTCATGTACCTGGCTCTGAAGAAGGAACAGGGCTGAAGAAGAAAGACCTGAGGCTGTAAATCAAACTGTCCTTTCCTCCCGACCCATTGACCACAGGGCAGACAGCCTAGCCAGCCTGTTGTCTGTAAGAACTTTTCTTTGTCTTTCTCTTGTACCTTTAAGGCACTTTTCAGATCCTAATAAGTATTTATTTGTCAAAACGAAAATTGGAGTATCTGAACACATGCTGGTAATAATGTTTAAGTAAGTTCCCATTGAAAATTGACAGCATAGTAAAAACAAAATTCTGTTAAACCCTGAAAAGCCATCTATTTCTTGGATAATTTTGCACAGCCCTCCAAACATGTTGATTTTAAACTGCCTTTGGAAGGGCAGAGTTGGAGGAAAAGCCTTAGCCTTCATTTCCAAGGCCTATGTAGTGGAAAGAGCAAGAGTGAGCGCTGTTGTTTTTGCAGGTGTCTGTCGCTTTTCAATTGGAAGTCACCAGCTTGCTAGCTTGGAGACATCCTTCTCCCATCAGGAAGAGATGCCTGCCTTTCAATTATAAAAGCCGAAGCAATAGAGCAAATGTCAGAGATGATCAATGGGACATGATTGTCACTACAAATTGAGTGTTCATCGATCAATAAGGATGAATACGACAGAAGATGTGGACAGTCAGTGATATCTGACAGATAATGTGGACACAAAATACTACCCAAGGGGCAAGATCTGTGAGTAAATATTTGGGGGCGGTTGGTTTTTTTTTTTTTAAAAGATCAATCTTAAGAAGAAGTCCATCTTACAGGAAGTGAGCAGAATCTTGTTGCCTAGCCTCACCTCACAGGTGTGCTAAGCCCTGGACCAGGCTCTGTGTCCTGTACTTTTTGAATGTTTGTCACTAATATTCTCTGTCCCATAGAAAGAATGTGTACATTTTGTAGCTCCATTAAAAGTGAAATACTGAGGCAATTATTTTTCTTT